ATAATATTTCCATGATAGTTAAGGTTATGTAACAAAGTTCGAATTCACATTTTTATTATAATAAAATTATTATTAGAAAGATCAACTTCATGTATTAAAATGAAAAGAAAAAAAAATTGGATTAGTGTTAATTTTTTACACTGGGAAAAAGACGATGCTACTCCGGTGACGATTATAAACAATATATTTATTTTCTATTGTTTCAAGAAAGCAATAAACAGGATTCATTCACAATAAGCGCTTCTATAAATATATGTAAACATACATACGTGTATATTTTACATAAAATCACACACACAAAAATAAAAAAATCAATCAATATATATTTATTATATAAAAATTTGTTATATATGATTGTATGTTGTTATTACACCGGTTGCATTTTAAGAGTGAAAAACTAGCAATGGGACATGGAAAATATAAAAAAAATTAAAGATAAATATATTGATACATTGTGAGACCAATTTGTCCCATCACTAGTTATAACTGATGTTCAGTCTGGGTCATTGTTTGAGATGAAACACTGCGAGAGGGTATTCCTTAATGTAGGGTTGCTTTCATTTTTTTTTTTTTTATTGAATCGTAATTTTGAGTAATTTTCGTCTGAACTGTGACATACTTTTACTACTGATCTTATAAGAGACAAAAAATGTCTGACTAAAGCTAATTTTTACTACTAACACTAAAAAAACTAATACTATAACAGGAACTTAAAATATTATGTCTGACTGAAATAGACTTGTACTACTGAATTTTTACAAAATGTAATTTTTACCACTGATACTAAAATAATAAGAACTTAAAATATTCCGTCTGAGTGAAATAGACCTGTACTACTGATAATTAAAATTTTTAACAAATTACAACCATCTTGTCTGACTAAAACTTACATTTTCTACTAATAGTAAAACGATAAGTATTAATTTAAATTATTATTCTGAGACGCATAGTAAAATGAGAGAAAAATTTTACGCATTTGTCTGACTAAAATAGGATTTTACTACTGAAACTAAAATTGGATTAATTGTGCTTTCTGATAGAATGTAATTTTTGTCATTTTAGTATTTTCAATTGAAGGCTGACCAATACTACCACTTACTACTAATACAAAAAAATAATTTACAGTCTAACTGATACTGACTTCTACTACTAATTATTTAAAAAAACAGAAAAATTCCAATTTAACTTTTATTGACTTCTGCTACTGTAAGTATACAAGAAATCAATTATGTCTGACCGAAACAAACTTTTACTACTGGCACAAAAAAATGGACAAGGTTTTGGAAATTTACTATAAACGACTTTAATGTTTGTGGAAAAATTAGAATTATTGAAAAAAAGGTGTCTGACCGAAACAGGTTTATTCTACTGAGACGAAAAATAACTGTCTGTGTGAAACAGATTGTCTGACTGATAGTGGCATTTACTACCTACTGAAATTTTAACTCTCTGTCTTAAACTTACTGTTACTACTAACAGAGTAAATAAATTCAAAATTTCTTGTCCCACTCGAAATGTCTTTTACTACTGATACAAAAATTAGTTAAATTTATATAGTTTTGTCTGTCTAAAACTGACTTTTACTACTTATCGGAAAAAATTACTCCAAGTAAATATATATACATATATATTATATAAGTTGGTATAATCAAAACAACGCGTATTCGATGTCACGTGACATGAAATAGGGGAGTAATTTTTTCGGTGTTGGTGAAGCCGCAATGCCATTTTTCAATAGAAATATCGCGAGCATAAATATATATATATATATATGTTTTTTTTGTGTGTATACGATTCATTATTTGCTTGAATGCGGGTTGAACATTGGCGCAACCCTACATCAAGGAAACAGCACATGGAAGGTAACGTGGTCAAAGATATATTATTGCAATAGCTGCCGAATGCGACAATGGCAATATGTGCCTCGCGTAACGCGTGCACAATCCATTAAAAATATATACAATATACAATATATACATACAGTTACACAAGCATATATAAAAAAAAGAAAAGAAAAAAAAACGCAGTCAAACTCGTGAACCCTCGTGCGTGCGCGAGATTTCTAATCGAAATGTTTTATATTTTTTCACGGATATAAGAAAAAGAAAAAAAAAAGATGAAGAAGATAATGATGATGATGATGATGATGATGATACACAGTATAATAACGTACAATAAACAATAATAAAATAAAATAAAAAAAAAAACATGTCCTTCCAAGCGCAACCTCAAAATAACAAAATGTTAACAATTTTTTATTTTTGCAATAATATTTCCCATCATCAATTTTTTGATGTCTGCGACAAACAAAGAAGAAATACAATTATATCGGAAACAGTGATAATTATACATACAGAATCAACTATAAATAACAAATTTAATTTTGCCGATGACGACAAATGAGTACTAGATTCATTTTTTATACAAAATAAAAAGCAGCATTCTCCATTTTTTTACTTAATGTATTATAAAAGAAAATAAAAGGTAAAGGATTTATATATATAACAATTTATTATATTACACAACTGACTTTTCATTGTTAATTAATGCGATGCTATATATATATATATATATTATATAATTATAGCATGGATATGCCCTTTGAGAATATGAAATTTTGTATACGAAATCAAGGAATCTTGCATTGAAAAAAGTATTCTTTATTATCTTACGGAAAAAGCCTTCGATGTTAATTTTTACTATACCACAATGTAAAATACACTTTTCCAATTCTAGAAAATTTTTATGTAATTAATCCCATACAGTATAGATAAATGAAAAAAATGTTTCATACCTGTTACATAATTGTTACACAATTGTTACACAATTGTTACATAACAGTTATGTAATTGTAACATAACTTAAAAACCATAAATAAAAAAAGATTATTTTTTTCGGTGCTCATTCTTTTTCGCACATAATATACATAATTTTTTTTACTTTTTAAAGTCTGTTATTCTACATAGAAGTTACTGCGTTTAATTAAATATATACCTTTTTCTTTCCTATATCAGAATAGTAAAAAAAATTCATTTTGGCGAAAAATTTTAGTTGAAAAAAATAAGTAAACTAAAATATTTATTTGAATCAGCAAAATAATTTATTCTGTATAATAAGCATATTCTGTGATTTTAAATCCCGTATAGAAATTTTTCTTAATTTTGTTAAAATATATAAAAAAAATCGCATATCCTTTGTTTTCTTTATGTAAAGAAGCATCTTTTCCATGGTTTTTTTTTCTAAACATGGAGCAAACATATAAATTTTCTATTTTGTTATTAATTATCTTTCTATTTTATACACACGGAAAAAAGTAATCTCCGTTTCAGTGGATTAAAATTCAAAGATAAAAAAAAAACTATAGAGGAAAATATTTCTTTTACCATTATTCACTTTAAAATGAAAATAAAATTTATTGGCAAAAATAATATTTATCCTGATAGAATAACGTAATTAGCTATATCAGAAAAAAAATCCTCTCAAAATGAGATTACTATTTTCTAGGTATGACATAGATAATTCATTAAATTTTTTTCATTAAAGCTTTCTCAAAATATAACAAAATTCTTTATTGATCAAGAAATTCCTCGTCTTGTATAACTATCTCACAAATTCAAAATATCTTCTTCATGCGATCAATTTATGTTATTCATCTGAAATTTTCATCAATTTAGCAATATAAGTCTAAAAAAAAACAAATAAAATAAAAAATTGCGAACGATAGAAATTTCTCATTATATATATATACATATATCTTTCATAATTTGCAAAAAAAAATAAAAATAAAATAAAAACAAAAATACTAATAACTTTATAGCTGACATTCTCTTTATCGCGCGTAAATAATGGCATTTATTAATTTTTCAGTATCGTCTGGGGGAACAAATATAAACTTTTCAAGTGCGTCTTTTCAATGAAATGAAATTTAATTCCCAAAAAAAATCATTTTTCGACGGTTAGAAAAATTGAAAGCTAAAACTTTTATTCATAAAAAAAATATTTATGTATTTTATAACTTCAAAATTTATTTGTTGTATTCACTGATCAATTGAATATGTAAAAAAACAATATTAAATCAAAAAAAATCTTCGAATATTTAATAGAAAAAAAAAACTTAATAAAAACACAAATCGCATAGTAGAATGATTACGCATCAGTCTTTACAATTTAGTATAAAAAATTCCGTTTGTAAGTTTAAGGAAAGATGTAAATAAGAGTGAACGATCAGTTATAAATTAATCAAGGATGGTCAATGTGAAAATCGTGAATTTTTTTTTATATCGATTATACATGAACAACATGAAAAAAGCGATATCTTCTTTTTTTATTTATGTTCTAAAAATGATTTTAAAAGAAGCGATTGAAAGTATATATAAAAATTACTATATATAATGAAGATAAATTAGATTTTACTAATTATTAATTTAATATGTCAATTGTCCATCCTTGAGTACATCATACAGAGGTTTCCAATGTTCTACACATATACACACACATATATATGTATAAATATAGTGACACCTTTATAACAATTGTTACAAATAAGTTTTATCTATAATTTCGTTACACAGATAATGAAAAGGTTCTAATAGTGTTAATAACCAAAAAAAAATAAAAATGTGAAAATTATTGGTTTCACTGAAGGTATTAAATTAATGAAATAAAAAAAGAAATCAAATTTGGGAACCTTATAACACGGATGTAGTTTCAAAATGGAAACCCCTATATGCATATCAAAAAACTTGTCCATAAAAAAAAAGTCAGTCGATGAATGTGTTTTATGTGTAATTATTAAAATGTTCCCTTTAATCCTATTAAGTCTTCGAATATATTCTAAGCATTTAATTGTATATAAATATGTGATAAATATATATATATATATAAATAAATAAATATATATATGTACATATAAGTATAAATTAGAGTCTACTTTTTGTACTCTTCTTTTCCTATATCAAAAAATATTTTTTCAAAGGTTTACAAAATAATTTCAAAAAAAAAAATTTTACTTATTTTTATTTTATTTACACATTAATAAAAAGTAATTTCTACATATTTAATAAATTCTCTTATAAAATAATTAGATTTATAATGCGTATATAACGAATATTAATTATCATTGAGTTCTCTTTTTACACCCACAGTAAAATCAAAAAGATCTTCATTCAAAACATCACCATCAGTATCAATGAAATAGTAAAATCGTTTACCTTTAATTACCAATGGTAAAGTACTTCGAATACCTCTTGAACCATTACAACTCATCTGAAAAAAAATTTAATTATTTTTTTTTCATTATTTTTTTATAAAAAAAAACAATTTTATTTGCATTTAACATACATTTTCGAGAGATTCGGTAAATATTTGTCGACTTGGGATTACATTGTATGTAACAATTGTCACTCGATTACCGCCTTTGTGTAAAATAATTCGTCTTACTGTTCTGCTTGCAAAAAATATGATTGATAAAAAAATTACTGGACCTGTTTTTTGAAGAGATATTAAAATTAAATATTTCTTTTATTTCTTTATATTTTTTTTTTAATACTCCAGATATTTTATTTACACTTACCACAGGTACATCCTATAAAAATAGCCAAAAGACTAAAGGGATGCGTGGCTAATTTTTGTCTCCAAGTTTTTGTTTCATCAAATAAATCTTTACAAAATGTGCGGTATATATTATTTGCCATTGTAATCATACCAAATAGTTGAATAAAAGCAAATGTTATTACAACCTTGTATGTTGTAGAACGTTCAAATTTAAATATAAGAACATTATTTAAAATTGTTCTTGAACCATCAAAATTTTTTGCTTCAGTTTTAGACGACTTGTTGAATCTGTGAATAAAATATTTATATAATTCAATTTTTGGGAAATTTTCAAACTATTCATTGATTTAATTGAATTTTATAAAAACAATTTTAATATTTAATTAAATCAATTTCTTTAACAAGATAAAAATTTCAAATTATATATATATATTCAATTTTTATAACATGTGCTGCCCTCTTTAGGCGATCTGAACAACCTCAAAAGAAAACTGAAGAAATAGTAGGTAAACTGATTTCCTGTTTTTAAATATACATAATCAAAAATGTTTAAATAACTAACAAATGTATAATTGTAATGTTAACATAAAGGAAAATTTAATTATTTATAATTTTCTACATTTAAATTTAAAATTTTTTATTATTACCTTGTGAACGATATTTGTCTTTGATTTGTAGTAGAAAAAGATTTAGAATTTTTACAAAAATGAAAATTTGTAAATCTTCGTACAACACATTTTTCTAATAAATTTTTAAACACTGACGTTCCGGTAACAGTACTTTTAGTTGTAAAAGATTTTCTAAAAACAAGACCTGAAATAAACATGTTCTTAATTGAAAAATTGCAAAATACTTGTTTTTTACGAATTCCCAGTTAAAAATAATTCACTATTCTTGTTAAATTTTGTTTCTCAAATTATTATAAACATTGCGTTAAACTACTTTTATTTATTTTAAAGTAACAAAAATAAATTCCCTTATAGATATTGTGTTTTTATCGACACACTTTGAGGTTAGGTACCGGACTGTCTGGGACTGTCGTTATCGCGGTAAAAATATACAACTATTTTCTATATATTTATGTGATAAAAAACTTAAAATATTTAAATATTTTGTGTTTTAAAATAATAATATTAAACACTTTATTATTTTTGTCTACTTTTTTCTTATTATTTAATTATTTAATCAGCGTTTATATTATTTTAAACTGCTTTTTTATTGATGAGAATTTGAATTGATTTGACGTTAAGAAAATGTAAGAGGAGTGTAAGTTGCGCATTGGAGTTAGGGACTGTTACGAGCCAAATTGTATATTTAATTGCGCAAGCGCAATTTCACTTGGTTATTTTGTGGATTCAGCCTTAGTGTTAATCATTAAAATGAACCGGGAAAGTTAAAATAATTACACAATTAATTTCCGTTAAAACGGAGGGAAAATCCTCTTGAAGACGAACAATAATAATTAGATAACGAATTAACCAATTATTAATTGTTCCGACTTCTAGATTAAAACCCAAGCTTTTATTAAATATAGAAAGAGACAAATACAAAGTTGACTTGGAGCGAACTCGACAAGTCGAAGGCAAGATAAGATCTGACGTAAAGCATAAAGTACAAGTAGTGGAGAAGCGCTCAGCTGTGAGTCCATGTGGCTTCTTTGCGCATGCTCTTTATATTTTCTTATTCTATGCTGTTTCCAGCAACACTGCACTGCACAACACTACGTATCTTATTTACTATATACACTTTACTAATTATATATTTCAAGGTATATCTTATACATAATATTTATTATATTATAAATATTATAATTAACAATATAACATACTCATACGTATTAATGTAATAATTAATTATTATCTTGTTATTGTGTAAATAACACACACACACCACGATTATATATTTAATAATGTTTTATAGAGAAGATGATGATTTTTAATTTATATTTTTAATGTAAAAATCTAGTTGATATAAAATATTTCTTTACAAATATTTTATCCTTTGTTTGATCAATACGTGACTTTTCTCGATTTAGCGAGTCTACATGTGTGTCTGGTCAACATGTGTTTGGTGTCCTGTAGAGAAAGGACCACAACTTTTTCAAGTGGATTTTTTATGATCTTTAAGGGTTTTTATTTCATGGTTGGGATTAAAGGAAAGTTAGAATCATATTTCCTTTTGCTATTTTACTTAATTTATGACTTTTCTTAGAACTGTTTATATTCTTTGATTTGAGAATAAGACTTGAAAATACTTAAAGCGTGAAGATATTATTTTACAATTAAGTTAACTTTTTATAGTTTCCTCAATTGCTAAATTTATGTGAGAATAAATTCTAGAATACAAAATATTAATTATTTAATATTTTGAATATTTATTATTTAGCGCGTAAGTATCGTTAATTCGAGATATCGAAAAGTTATTCGAGCGAGAATATAGTCGCTCGTTACACTTTCCCCCTTATTAAAATTTTCGTTAGAAAATTAAATATATAAGATTACATCTATAAGATAAAGTAATTTTATTTTTACATTGTATAATTACTATTGTTATGTATAGAAAAGGAAAAATAATATATTCACTGAGCAAAACTACAGTTGCTCATCTCTCACTCCTCGCCAAATGAGAAGAGCAATGTTAAAATGAAAATATTGTATAACAAGTAACAGACAAATATTCTGTCACTTATTTATTTTGATTAAAATTTAAAAATTTTCTGTATACTTTACAAATAATCAACTAATAATGATTTATTTTCGAATTCAAGAATACTTTGACATTGTTCATCGGAGATTTTGTATTTTTATTGAATGTTTAATTATTTGTTAATTTCAAGAATCCTGCCACATAACTCTTCAGACGCCCTTCGCTCTGATTCAAGAATTTTAAAATTCCCAAGGATCGACGAACAAACTCGCCGTTCGATCCAACTTGTTGATCTTCGAAATAGATAATTTCAGCAGAAACAACATTATTTTCGAGATTCCTCGATAGACCGACGAATAACCTCGCCATACGGTCTAGAAATTATTTTTGAGATTAACTCCTGTAATCTCGTGGCCTCTTGATTCTCTCAAACAATCGACTTTTCAAAATCATCATTTTGAAAAAATCGTTTCCTTGCAAAATTTTATTGCTCTCATACACTATCCAACCAATGTATATCAGAGAATACTGCACCAATTCAATTGTCAATTCGTGTTCGTCTAGGGATAAAGAGGAGAGCACAGGTGTATTAGTCACCTTATGCTACGGATATGGATTAATTTATAATGAATAAACGTCATTTAACGTAATGTAATTTTTATTCTGTGCAGCATCTCTCCATTAATATCACAAAGGCTAAGAGATAATGCATAAGCGCAATTGTCTTTTAGTACACCTTATGTACCGTGATCATACTCTCTCAAACGATGTCTCTACCTGAGTAACCTTGAATTCACATTATATAACTGAAGGAAGTGTTTATGTTATGTTTGAAATCTAAAACAAAAAGGAAAAAAAAATCCTATCAAAAGTTTTCAGATTCATTTTCAATGTTAAGAACATCTTCAGATTGATTTGAATTATTTTTATTATCATCATAGCGTTCATGATCAAAAATTAATTCATACTCAGCTTCTATGGCATATTTTGTAGCCAATTGAAAACTATTTGGGTTTCTTAATGTAACTTGCAATCTACATTCCGGGAGAAGCCCTCTACAAAATGATTTTGTTAAAAATTTATCATTTTCTAATAATTTCGCATTTAAGAAATCAGCAGGCGTATCTCTACGAGATATTTCTGTGAACGAAAATAAAATTTTTCTAGCCTTGGCAATATAGCTATGAATAGACTCATCTTTATTTTGATTCAATTTCGCGATTTCTATTAAAATTGACGAGTTATCGTGGGGTAATGAGAAGCCGTCTTGTAAATCGGACAAGAAATGTTCAAGGGTATTAGCAGAAGAATGTGCCATATACTCTTTTGCTATACCTTTTAATTTTCCACGTATATATCTAAAAAGAATATTATGATTTTCGATCGGGGTATTTTGAGCTGCATAACGACATTCCGATAGAAAACTTAAAATGGAAATATTTTCACCATCAAATTCTGGCAAAATTGCAACAGTATCTCTAAATGATACACTTGGTAATTTAATTAAATTTAACGAATCATTAGGAATATTTTCCTCTATGATAGATCGAGAGTTTGTACTTGAAGAAGGTTCTGAAAGTGTGCTCATACCTTTATTATTAAAATGTTCGGATATAGCCTTAGCTAATACGAGAAAATCATTTTGCGAAAATTTTTTCAATATTCCCTGCTCATTATTTTTATTTTGTTCAGAATTTAAGAGTCCATTTTCATAATCTATTATGTCTTTAAATTGTAAATTTTCATCAGAATTATCTATAATAATATCACCATCATCATCTCTATATTCAACGCCTTGTTCATGCAAATTGTCCATGTTGTAATAATTTATTGGTAAATTTAAATTATTAGTAATATAACCTGAAATTTAAACCAACAGTATTAAAAATTTCTAATAAAATCTGGACAACTTTGCATAAACAAATAGCATCTAACGTTTAACAATATTCTCACTGTTTTACTTATATAATGTATACTTATATTCGGTATAATTATATAAAAAAAATATTTATATAGAATAAAGATTAAATTATTCTTATATTTTAAGAGTTCATAAAATGTTCATAGTCTTATAGAATAATCAAACCTTTACGTTGTTTTATTTCACTTAAAACACAACCAAATTTTATGCACTTAATTTCGAAATTGGCCATAATTTATCCTATTAAAGGATGCACTCCCGACACAACACAACACAAAACTGTAATCAGGAACTTGAACAGCAATCGGGAACATGAACAGCAATCAAGAACAACAATGTATAATTTTTCAAAAGTTCAAAAGTTTTTTAAAAATCCCGCACTAAGGAACGGACGAGCCCCCAATTTATGTTACGAGCCAAATTGTATATTTAATTGCGCAAGCGCAATTTCACTTGGTTATTTTGTGGATTCAGCCTTAGTGTTAATCATTAAAATGAACCGGGAAAGTTAAAATAATTACACAATTAATTTCCGTTAAAACGGAGGGAAAATCCTCTTGAAGACGAACAATAATAATTAGATAACGAATTAACCAATTATTAATTGTTCCGACTTCTAGATTAAAACCCAAGCTTTTATTAAATATAGAAAGAGACAAATACAAAGTTGACTTGGAGCGAACTCGACAAGTCGAAGGCAAGATAAGATCTGACGTAAAGCATAAAGTACAAGTAGTGGAGAAGCGCTCAGCTGTGAGTCCATGTGGCTTCTTTGCGCATGCTCTTTATATTTTCTTATTCTATGCTGTTTCCAGCAACACTGCACTGCACAACACTACGTATCTTATTTACTATATACACTTTACTAATTATATATTTCAAGGTATATCTTATACATAATATTTATTATATTATAAATATTATAATTAACAATATAACATACTCATACGTATTAATGTAATAATTAATTATTATCTTGTTATTGTGTAAATAACACACACACACCACGATTATATATTTAATAATGTTTTATAGAGAAGATGATGATTTTTAATTTATATTTTTAATGTAAAAATCTAGTTGATATAAAATATTTCTTTACAAATATTTTATCCTTTGTTTGATCAATACGTGACTTTTCTCGATTTAGCGAGTCTACATGTGTGTCTGGTCAACATGTGTTTGGTGTCCTGTAGAGAAAGGACCACAACTTTTTCAAGTGGATTTTTTATGATCTTTAAGGGTTTTTATTTCATGGTTGGGATTAAAGGAAAGTTAGAATCATATTTCCTTTTGCTATTTTACTTAATTTATGACTTTTCTTAGAACTGTTTATATTCTTTGATTTGAGAATAAGACTTGAAAATACTTAAAGCGTGAAGATATTATTTTACAATTAAGTTAACTTTTTATAGTTTCCTCAATTGCTAAATTTATGTGAGAATAAATTCTAGAATACAAAATATTAATTATTTAATATTTTGAATATTTATTATTTAGCGCGTAAGTATCGTTAATTCGAGATATCGAAAAGTTATTCGAGCGAGAATATAGTCGCTCGTTACAGGACATTCCTGCGGTATTTATACTAACCTTGATTCATATAACCTAACCTTAGCCTAACCTGTTCAAAGTAATGAAAATTGTGTTGCAGCAGACGAAACCAAAGACAAATTATCCGTCTATCATTTAAAATTGAAATAGAAATATAAATAAATGTGTTAAAAATGGGAAAACCAAAGGATTTAAGTACTGACGAAGATCTTAATATCGGTAAGTTTTATTATTAATTAATTATTTTTATCCTTAATTTTGGGGGAATTTTTTTTTCTAAAGAATAATTTCAATTTTGCAGATCCTAATCTTGTTTTATTACAAAAGAAGCATAAAAAGCATAAACATAAGAAACATAAAAAGAAAAAATTATCAATTGAAGATTCAACATTTTTGGATATAACTGCAGACTCAGAAAAAAAGAAACCTTTTAAAGTGAAAAAGAAGGAGGATGAGAAAAGGTATATTTCTCACATGTCAATATTCAAGACAGATATATAACAAAATATAATATAATATAATACAATACAATGTAACATCTCAGGATTATCTGGAATATCCTAGGAGACATCACTGGACCCTATTTGAAATTTCTTTAAGGATTTCTTACAAGTATCTTATGTAGGATCTTATAAAGAATCCTACATAGGATTCCATATTTAATAATTTGTTACAGCTATGCAGGGTTTTATACCGGACCCTATATAGAATAATTTGTTATTAACAATTATTATATATCATTGTTAATAACAAATTGCCCTTATAGAAAATCCTGCATAGAAGTAACAAATTATTAAATATGGAATCCTAAGTAGGATCCTTTAAAGATTTATAGGATTCTACGTAGGTATTTTACCTTAACAGTATCCGGATATTTAGGATATCTAACAGACGTCTTAAGGATATTCTGAATACAGAGTATCCATAGGATGTTCCAGAGATATCCTTAGATATCCTAAGGACATTCTAGAGATATCCAAATTTCCGGATATGGCTAGGACGTCCGTAGGATATCCTAAAATATCCGTTGCTGTTAGGGTAAGAGTACCTATATCATTTCACGAAGAAGGGACCTAGAAGTTTTTTAAAACATCCTACGGAGAGTTTACAGTTTATCCAACAAAGGATACCTGTAAGAAATCCTTAAATAAATTTCCAATAGGTGAAATCTACCATCTCATGGAATATCCTCTATTTGGAATATAATATATCTCATACGTAGTTTATTTAACGACCTAAAAAATATCAATATTTTAATTTTTTATCTAAACCGTTAAATAAAAGTCAGTAAAACATTTTTTACTCCCTCCCTTAGTATCGATAAGGTACGTGAAAAAGCCAAAGTACCCACATTGAATATAGCAGGACCAAGTACATCAACATCACCAAAAGTACCAACAAAAAAGAAAATGCCCAAGAACAATAAGGGAAAAGACAGTGGCACTAGTAGTGAAGAAGAACGATGGCTAGATGCCATTGAATCCGGTAAATTAGAAGAGGTTTGTAAAATATTTTGCCAATTTTCCAAAACACTTTTAACATCTACATAAACAATAAAGAAAAAAGATTCGAATAAAAAAAAAAACTTTAATTAGGTAGACGATGAGCTTAAAAAAATAAAGCCAAAAGATCCAAAATTAATGACTGCACGTCAACGAGCAATGTTCGAACGTAAAACAGACGCTGAACCAAATTCTAGTGTCGAACAACTTGTTTCCTTACCAACTGGATATAAAGAAAAAGTCATGACAGCCGAAGCAATTCAAAAAGCGGCTCTAAAATCATTAAAACGGAAACAATTGGCTGATGAAAAAAGAGAGAAAGATAAGGTTTGAAATTTACCAGTAAAATTAAATTATTTTCTTTTTAAATATATTCTATTAATTACATTCTATTGTAGAAAAAAACAATGGAAAGACTTTTAAAGAAACAAGAGTCTAAAGCATCGAAAATTATAAGTAAGGGAAAACCCTCCCGGCGATTAGTTCCATTGATCACCTATAGATTGACACTAGAAGGAAGTTCCATATCTTTGCCGCTAGGAGAAGACTTTCCTTTACGTCAAATGAAAGAGTAAATAATTTTTTTTTTATTATAATCATAATGTATGTAACTTTCATTGTTTTAATATCTAAACGATTTTTTATAGACCAGAACCAGCTTCAATTGTCATTTGTGGAGTGCCTCAATGTAATCGAATAAAAAAGTATTCCTGCTCGAAGACTGGTATTCCTTTGTGTAGTTTACAATGTTATAAGTCAAATTTAGCTGCAATATTGTCATAAACATGAACAGTAAAATTTTCTTTTATTTATTGTTAAATGATACATAATATTAAGTTACATGCGAATAAACTATTTTTGTAAAATTTTGATTCTTTTATTTCTTATCCTCATGACTGAAAGGGCATTTTGTCATTTCGTTCATTCCAAGTCTCTTAACTGTTGCTGGCAGTTTGGAAGAACATATTTTAAATACAGAAACTACGTATCTGAGAAATTTTTAGAACCAACGTTTTTCGATTAACTTTTGTTCTTTATTCTAACAGCATCTGGATATTAAGGATATCCTACAGATGTCCAAGGAATAATCGAAGACTTGAAAATTAGGATCTCACAAGAGGATCATTCCTTCAGCATCATTTCCTCTTAAAAGAGGTAAGAAGATCATCAATATTTATGAAAGACAAATCGTAACATGTCCAGAATCCTCTAACTTTTATGGATGCAACAGAAAGAAAGGAAACCAAATCGTAACCACACAATAACTACTCAGAAATATTTCCTTTTTGGATACAGCAGAAAGATAATTGAAATACTATAGTATAATAGAGAATTAGTATTTTTTAAAATTTTGAATCCTAATAATTGTGTATATGTTTTAAGAATATTAAAGAATTTTGTTGTTAATTCTTCTGTACCCTTAAAAGTAAGTCACGCGAACATGCCGGTTAACCGGTTCTTTTACCAAGTTGATTGTTTCTTCTCTCTACTTCTTGTAATGTTATCTTAGACTAACCTAAACCTTGCTTTCACCAATTCGAATATTGGCTACATCGTGAGTCTTCATCCGAACGCGATACAGTGTGCGCCTCGTTAATATCTTCTATACTCTCGATTCGCCGTTCCACATCTCCAATGTGAATTGTAGATTATTCTTTAAATCCCAGATTTTCTGGGTCAACATGGTGTCGATTAAAATAGCAATTTTTTCCCTCGGTTCTATTTTATCATTCATTCAAAATGTTATTTCAATTGGTAAGTTTGGATTTTAACAAATTTTTATTCAAAAATTTAAAATTTTTATTGACACGTGTTGTTAACTTTCTTTTAACTTTCGCAAAATGCAGAAAGATTTCTTGATCTTATTTTACAGTTTAGAAACTGGTTTCTCATATTATATTCATTTTTTAAATTCTGATTTATCTGAATGTAACTATTAATTATTTACTTCATTCTAGATTTTAAAAATCATGACTGTTTACGACCGTGTAATACTGGGAAATCATCGAAAAATTGTCGATATGATTTTTATATTAGTGAAGTCAATTTAAATAGGTGAGATTATTATCTGAAGTATATAAAGTGGAGTAACGACCTTAGATTTTTTTTACCTTTTCTTTGTAGGTATTTAAGTATTAATCTATCCATTAATATTGTTATTATGAATGTTCAAAGTATATATATATATTATTTTTTTTTGTACATTAAAATTTTCTGATGATCAACTTTTAATATACATGTAAAAATTCTATATGTCATTAAAATTACCTTTTTTCTCTAAAAGTACCGTTTATGCTTTCCAGGCGATGCAACGAGTCACAGGAAGAAAATAATGACCAATTATTCTGTTTGGCGAATAAAACACACAAAAGTCCTTTGGCAGTTAATGGAAAAAGTCCCGGACCATCAATTGAAGTAATACTGATACCGTAATTATTCTAATGAAATTGAAGTTTTTTTTGCATTTCTAATTCTTAATTAATTAGAAGAAATACAAGATATGAAAATAATAGAAAAAAATTTTAAGATATGTTTAGGAGATACTTTAGAAGTGTATTTATATAACAAATTGGATTTTGAAGTATCATTTCATTGGCATGGAATTCATCAGAAAGGATTTGTTCATATGGATGGTGTTCCTATGATAACACAATGTCCCATTTTACCATTTAGTGGATTTCGATATAAAATGAAACCAGATAATGCTGGTACATACTTTTATCACGCACATTCTGGTATGTTTAATATTATTTTGCAAATGTAAAAAAAAATTTTAGGCTTGAATTATTGCTAATTCTAAGACTAAATTCTAATGAATTTTTTAAACGTAGTATTGCAACAAGGTGACGGTTTGTATGGAGCATTAATTGTTCGAACTCCAGAAGATGATTCTAATTTTGAAAAAATTGTTCATCTTTCATCGAGAACTAAAAAAGCATTAACGATATTTCCTCAGCAAAAACTGCCTGTACCTAATGAATTATTAATAAATGATCAGGTGTGTTAGTCTATTTTTTTGAAGCAATCAAATTAATTTGTGGATTTAAAAAATTTTCAAAATTAATATTTTTTAATTCTTTTGGTGTATAGGGGAATGGCACACAAATAGATGTCGAAAAAGATGCTCGTTATTTATTTCGTTTCATTAATTCTGCTGCTTTTAATTGTCCAATTTCGTTATCTATTGGAAAACATCAATTGAGAGTAACAGCAACTGATGGAAATGAAGTCAAAAATTTAGATTCAGCATCTCATATTATCATCTTTCCAGGTATTTACATATGATTTATAAATGTAAATTAAAATTAATTTGAGTAAAGAATAAATGGAATTCAAAATTAATCCCTATCGAAAATTGCCAGTAGTCAATTTTGATAGGGTCTAATAGACCGGGATAGCGCTGAACGTACCTTTTTAGCACCTTCAGTTTGAAGATTAAGAGAATTAGAAGACATTTAATAATATTTTGTAGATTTTAAATATTTCATCAGCATAAACAATTGAAGTATATAAAAAATTGAAGTTCATACATATTAAACGAAAAACTGCTAAGATTTTTGAAGTAATTTTAAAAAAATAATGTTAATTACACAAATCAATATTTGGAGTAATTGTCAGGGTCAAATAAAAAATTTTATTCGATTTTATATGAGAGTCACAGAATCCAACGTTGCAGGGCTATTCCGCACTCTGACGCTATATATACATAAAAGAAGAGAAATTCGATTAGAATTATAAAAGAGCGAAAAGGATGGGATTATTATTATTTTGGGACGTGTGGTTTCGGAAGGAATGGGAGAAAGAAACAGGATGAGAATAAAATTAAAGAGAGTGGGGGATATTTGCGATATGGTCGCGGATGCTTGAATTGACGCTCATATCCAAGGGTCTTCGCGCAGACTCGTTTGACTTCGTGAGCTCGCCGGATTTTTCGTTCAAAGGGAAATAAAGAAAGAAAGGTGGTAGACAAGCACGAAACGCGCGTCTCCACGAAAAATCATTAAAATTTTAATATACCTATAAAAACGCGACACAGTGTTTAACATTTTTTTTAAATTATAATTTATATTTCCCCCCCAAAAAAAAATTATTTTTAACAAATATTTTTGGGTGATTATTATTGAGACGCACATGTCCATGTATAATCAAGGGTTATGGGAGAATGTGAATACAAGTGCTAAAGAAGAGACAATAATTGGTGGTGGTGGTGGTTGTACAATGGAATGGACTAGAGAAAAAACATTGGAATTATTGAAAGAATATCAAGCACGTCATGTCCTTTGGGATTGTAATACACGCGGTTATCGTGATCGTACAAAACGTAAAAAAGCTATACAAGAACTTGCCGATATTCTTGGATGTAATACATTGGAAGTTGAGAAAAAAGTCACTAATCTTAAATGCCAATATTCACGTGAAGTACATAAAATACAGAATAGCAAGGAAAATGCAAATACTCCTGATGATTTATATGTCTCCAAGTGGTTTGCCTTCAAATCAATGCAATTTTTGCAATTTGGCACACGACGATATCGAAGAAAAAAGGTAGAATTTCCCTTTTTAATTTTTCTATATCTTTGCTTTTAAAAATTGGCTTTTATTTTTCGAATAGCGTCTTTTTTATTTAAAATTTTTCTTTGTTAGAAAAAAAATCCTGAAACGAAAGACGCTGACCGGCATACACACGAGAGATAAAAGCCGGTTGTACTTTTCTCCTCTCTTTCTCCCCCCCCCCTCTAATCCCTCCAATATTCTACCTTGCACCTGCTGCAGATGCACTATGAACCAGATATTCTCGGTCCAAAAATAATTATTCCGCAAAAATTTCTTAAATCATCCAATTTATGTTTAAAAAAAAATATATTATTTAAAAATAAAATTTCAGACTGTCGAGAATTCAAAATCAATGGAAGAGGAATATCTTGTGAGCGATATAGATCCTGAAAGTATAACATTTATTGAGTCAAATGATGAAACAAATGGTTCATTTAATGCATCGTTAAGTGAAGATGCAGATGAATTACTATTATCATCTAATGTTAAAGATAATGAACGATATTCAAAAAATGAAAATTATCATATTGATGAGTCTGATGATAAAATGATAATGAAACACGAGGTTATTGATGATAAAGAGAGAAAAATAATGAAAGAAGAATACATGAAATTTGGCGAGAGCATTGCATTACAATTGGCTGAAATACCTGATTCTTATTCAAGATCTGTCGCTAAATTGAAAATTAATCAAATTCTTTTTGAAGCTGAAATTGGTATTTATGCGCAGGCGCGACGTTAATTTCTTCTTTTTATTTAAAATTTTGAAGAATGTGATAATTTCGTCAATTTGAAGAATTGTGTGCGTATATTTAGTTATTTAGATTTTTCTTTGACAAATGTACAATATTAATTGTACAGGATCTCCATTTTTATATAAATACGTAGTACTTCGTATATAAAAAAAAGTCTAGTTTGTAAGAAAAATATTTTTCAAGACTGTCTTGTATTTTATTTTACATAAAAAAATGTAACTATTTTGATCGTTAAAAATGTACTTATGCCCTATATTTTTTCGTTTATGAACTTCTCACGGCCTTAAAAGTGTTGACGAAAATTTACTTTAAAAAAGAACACTTTATTTTTGATGAATTTTCATACTACACGTCGAACAATAATAATAAAAAGCAAAGCAACTACTTATAGAGAAAATACGATATTATTGTGATCTTAGAAATAAATGAAAGAGTTTCTAAAATTTTCAAAATTTAAAAAAATATTTCTATAATGAATTAAAAATTTGTCGACGATGCTATTTTTCTCTAGTTCTTCCTTCAATCTTCAAGTTTAAGATTGGCAATTTTTTTTTGTTTTTAATTTTTACTAAATTTTTAAAATCGTTTTTTAATTATTGAAAATTTGTATTTTTAAATATGAAACGCAGTGGAGATACTAGTGCTTAGGAAAACAAAAATATTTTTAAGACTTTATACTTTTTGTCTAATTGTTAAGCTATTTTTCTACCTGAAAAAAAATATTTTTAATGCGCTTCAAAAAAAAAAATCATTAGGTGAGATTAGTTGTATATCAGTAACATAATATTTTTCAGTTTTATGACTTAAGTTTTTGGGCATTTTTCATAAAATTGTAAAAATTTAGAAAATTTAGAATTTGCATAATATTCTATCAACAATTTTTGTTCTTAGATTTACAACTTGTTATACTTTTGACATCTTTCAAGTTTACCAAAAAATTGTTTCTTACAGTTTCATTTATGTATTTTTAAGTTTTGCTTTTTATCAAATTCTTAAAAAGAATTATGAAAGCTTTCATTAATGGTATACTATATTGTTTTTTTTTATAAATGATGTAATTAAAAAGAAAACATAAGTATTATAATTATGTTGTAGTTACTATCCTGTTATGTGATTATTTATCTACTACTTCAGGGATTTTACTTAAAAATATTTTTATACGTCTATATACACATGTATTTTATGTACACTTTTTATAATGTATATGTTAAGTGCATAAGTTCGTTTAATAAAAATATATCACTAAGAAACGAGTTTATTTTTCTAAAAATCATAACTATATTTTTTAATAAATTATTTATAAAATTATAAGAAAAATTTATATCCAATTTTATTATATAATTAATCAAAAAACATTGTTTTCAGGAGAAAGACTGGATGCAATTCTTGAAACAAATCAAACACCGGGAAAATATCAAATAATTCTCCAAGGACTTATGGAATGTCGTAATTTATTTCTTGAAGTTTATCTTTTTTATTTGAATTCAAATGTAATGGACGTAATTGAAGATACGAGTATTTATTTAAATTCAAATAAACTTTCTCAATTAGAACGGGGATACGATTGTGATAAAGTGTCAAAAAATGTAATATGTAGTTTAGATTTGAAATCAAATGAGAAATTTTTATTATCTGATGAAACTGATGAAACAATTGTGATTCCATTTGATGTTAATAATTTTGAAAGTATCACTGATGAAATGACTGATGAGAATTTTAACATTTACGATTATTCCTATTATCCATCGTTTCTAAGTAAGAAGAATTTTGTAAATGAAAAATTAAATTGGGAAATCAGTAAAAAAAATTGATTACTCTTTTTTTATTACAGGTTTACTAACAAATGGCACACAAATAGCACAAATAAATGGAATGACATTTCAATATCCTTCGTCGCCAATTTTATCACAACCTGAAAATACACCAGAGGATTTGATTTGTTCATTGGAAAGTCGTTCAAAAATGTGTGAAAACACACCAGTTTTTTGTGAATGTGTGCAAATTTTGGAATTACCACCAAAGAAAATTGTTGATTTGATTTTAATTGATGAAGGTGAGAATTTTTTTACCCATTATAAAAAATAATATAACTCTCTAATATTATTTACTCATTTTACAGGATTTGGTGGTAACACCTCGTATACTTTTCATGTCCATGGATATAGTGTAAATATAATAGGACGCAATAATTTTCAACAACCAATTTCAAAAGAAGAAATTATTAATATGCATCGTAATAAAAAATTGCAGTATAATTTAAAAGATCCTCCAAAGAAAGATACTTTTGTTGTTCCAAATAAAGGATACGTCATTCTTCGTTTTCAAACGGACAATCATGGTAGTTTAAATTTTTATTTATTTATTATTTTATTTATTTAATTTAGTAGTTATTATTTCATTTATCATTCTTGTTAGGTTATTGGCTGTGGGAGGTGAGAAGTACTGGAATTTCACCTGCGACTTCAGGACCTGGTATGCAATTTTTAATGCGTGTTGGAAGTCGTGAAAATTTACCTGTCGTTCCATTAAATTTTCCCACTTGTGGAAATAATAAAAAACCTGGCATGATATTTGAAACGGAAATTGAAATATAAATCTTTCATGCTGTATTATGTAAAGTGTAAAAATTTTGTTGTGTCTCATTTATAATGCACAATTTATAGTACCTAATGTATTTTTTTACATATTTAAATTTTATTTATTTATATTTCATTAATAAATTATTTAATTTATTCGTATATACACTGTATATTTACGTGAAACGTGAAATAAATGAGAAAGAAATTATTTAGTTCGTTTTTGAAAGAAGGAGGAATGAATTTTTTCATTTTCCAGGAAAACAACCTTTTATAAAAAATGAGTTTTAACGTATTTTCCAGTTATTTTAAAGTTAGTATAATTTGAAAGAAGTATTTTTTACCTAAAAGAAATGGTATTCAATGAAATAAATGAGAAAGAAATTATTAAGTGTATAAATAAATTTTAAAATATCGTTTTTCATGACTAAAATTTTATTAATGTTAATCAATTTTCCTAAATGTATGCGCTTATAAAAAATAATTTACTTTCACATTTCGTCGAATCTCAAACTTTAAGACACGTAATTTACATATTAATCTAATTATACAAGTTATAATTATTTCGTAACAAATTTATGTTTTGTCAAATGAATAAAAAAAAGTTTGCCTATCGCAAAACTTTATTTGAACTATGCTCCTCCGATTAGTGCAACTAATGCCCTTTTGTAATCACCAGAGGTTTCATTCTGAAAAACAAAATTAATTTTATCCGAAAGAAACTATAAGATACAAAAAAAATTTATTTAAATTTTGAAATTGAAATATAGTTTTGATGAAGACATGTAAAATACTTACTTTTACCGATGACTCCAATGTTTTATCAAAAAGCCTCTCGTATTCCTCTTTTATATTTCCAAGATCAATTTCCGAACGACTGACGACAATACGTATTAATGATCGATCATCTGTTCCAGCACCTTCCATTGCTTTACGCAATTTCTTAGCGAAAAATGCTGGTGGACTTTGTACACATTCCACTTGAAAAGAAAAAATTTATTTTTCACTCATGTTAACGATATTTCAATTAACATCAAAAAGTTGAATGAAGAAAAATATTTTTTTTTCTTTTAAATCTAATTTTTGGAAAATTAAATACCTATGGCCAACATTGCATGTTTCAATTCACCGCTGACCTCGTCTCTTAATGCTTGTTCAATGGTTCTTCCACTAACGTCCTTATAAGCCTCGAAAATAAGACGAAGTTGTCCAAAACATTCATGAGCTAAAATCTTGTTAAAAATTTCTTCGTCAGTTCCCAATTTTCCTTCTCCTAAGAACAATATTTAAAAAAAAATTATTTTTTTATTAAATAAATTTTTTAATTATCCTAAACCTACCGGCATTATACAGCATCTCAGCTGTCTCTCTAGCACGTTCTGGATGGATTTCGGTTTGGGCATTTCTCACTCCCTGTTTTTAAAAATTTTTAATGTAGAATAAGATTTTCTTTTTTTTTTTTAATGAAAAACCTTACCGTGACAATGAGTGTTAATAATCTTCTAAAATCTCCAGACGTTTCACTGCACATATGTTCCGCTAATGGACGATCGTATACTAAAACATTTTACATTTTAGTAATGTAAATTATGGATTTAGTAAATTTAGAAACATTTAGAAGAAGAAACTTAAAGTATAATTGAATAATTATGTATATAAAAAAAACATTTAAATCGTGGGACATAAAAAAGTTTTATGTTGGGAAAGCATTTAAAATGACATAAAAAGTAAACAATTGTTTATATAATGATTATAATTGAGGATTTGAAAACTCTTTAGTTTTGATACTTACGCCTCTCGTAAGCATCAACGATTTCTTTAACTTCTTTATTATCTCGGGAACAAAGAATCTCCACTAGAGTCTCTTCTTCAGTTCCTATTCCAGACATAGCTTTATGCAGTTGTTTAGCCAGGAAATCAACAGGCGTTATCATCAAAGCAATTATTACATCCTCAAATTTTCCACCCAATTCACTTTTTAGATCTTCAATTAAATTCTACAATGAAAAAATTATTATCAAATTTTTTACAGCCAAAAATTGACTTCAATTTGATTTACACTATTTACCCGTCCGTATTCCTGAGTAAAAAATTTCGAAATTTCTTGTCTTTGAGCATTGCTGCGTGCTGTCAGAATGTCAATAATAGCTTGCTCATCTGTTCCGAAACCTTTCATAGCTGTTCTAAGAGCTATACCATCCTCAGAAGCATTGAAGTTTGGTGCTGACGTCACCGTTGGTTTTCTCTATTTAATATCAAATAAATACCCTAACTGTCAATTTTAATATTTTCTTAAAAGTTTGTAGAAAATGTTTTTTAAAAATTTTTAAGTACTCAAATTTTGAATTGTGTTACAAAAGATAATAAATATTTTCTTTAATTTATTTTATAAAAGTTCATATGCAAAATTAAAGTGTAATTAAAAAAAAATTTATAAAATTGTTATAACTTACAATATAACCCGTCATTATGAAGAATCTTTAAATTTGAAGATTCTGAAAATAAAAAATAGTTCTTTATAAACTATTATTGTTGAATTAATAAATAAATAAAATTAAAAAAATATTCAAAAATATTTTGATAAAGAATGAATGACCTTCAAACTTAAATTTATTTGATGAATATAAAAATATGTTTATATGTATATAGATTTTGATATATCATTATATTAATGTTTTGATCTTCGTCATTATAGATTTACATACAAAGTATGTTTGAGGAAATTGGAGAAAAATTAATTCTGCGCATGTGCGGAATAATTATAAATTATATGCATCATGTAATTATATGTTACTTTAAATACATTATCAGAATATTTTATATCATTTAACTTATTTTAGTATTTAAAAAAATTAGTATTTTAAATTTTCAAAAACTTACAACAAATAAAATTGATGATAATATGAACTTCTTGTAAAATTTTAAACCAAACAATAAGGAATCTGAGAGAAGACTAAATTTTTATTTAGTTCTATAACGGTATCTCAACGCAAGAAGGCAGCACCTTCTGGTTAATGTTTGAGAAATCATCTCACAATGCAATCTACAGGCATTGTGAAATACATTCATTGAGAATCTTCCAAGTAAAATAGGAAAAAATAACATCTGTCCTTTTCCATTTACCGACTGTAGGTATTATACCACCTAAAGTTTATCATATGAATGAATTTATCAAGCATTGTAAAGGTTGCTACCCATTTGTTAATTTAACATCAGTAGAAAATGATGAATATTTTCTATAATTTAAGAGGATTATCTTAGCGGCTTTGTTTAAATTTTTAAAATACTTTGCTCTTTCAACAACAATAATTCTACAATTAAGCTCTTTTCTTCATTTATTTCTTTATTGAATTAAATTATTTCATTACAATTATTTGACAAAAAAATTTGTCCTTTGAAAAATTTTATTTGAACTATACTCCTCCGATTAGTGCAACCAAAGCCCTTTTGTAGTCGCCAGAGGTATCATTCTGAAAAACAAATTTAAATTTTTTCCTTAAGAAAATGAAATTATTTGAATGAAAAAAATTTTGATGATAGATAGTAAGATGCTTACTTTAACTGATGATACCAGTGTCTTATCGAAGAATCTTTCATATTCTTCTTTTATGTTTCCAAGATCAATATCCGAACGAGTGACAATGATTCGAATGAGAGTTTGATCATCAGTTCCCATACCTTCTATTGCTTTATTCAATTTCTTAGCAAAAAATGCTGGTGTACTTTGTACACATTCCACTGAAAAAAAGGAAATATATTTTTCACTTATTTTAACTAAAATACAACAGTTATAAAAATAATAATGAAAACCATTTTTTAAAATCTTAATTTTCGTAAATTTATTACTTGCCCAATGTCAACATTGCATCTTTCAATTCTCCTTTGATCTCATTCCTTAATGCTTGCTCAATAGTTCTTCCACTGATATGCTTATAAGCATCAAATACAAGTCGTAATTGTCCAAAACATTCATGAGTTAAAATCATGTTAAAAATTATTTCATCTGTTCCCATTTTTCCTTCCCCTAAATAAAAAAGAATTTAATTTAAAAATTAATTAATTAATTTTTTAATTAATAACTATATATTTTTAATGTTACTAAAATTACCCGCATTATAAAGTATTTCAGCTGTTTCTCTTGCACGATCTGCATGAATTTCCGTTTGAGAATTTCTAACTCCCTATTTTTAAAGTTAAGAAAATTGTTTACTATCTGGAAATGTGGATTTTTTTATTATTAAATGAAAAACCTTACCGTAACAATAAGTGTTAATAATCTTCTAAAGTCTCCAGAAGTTTCACTAGCTATATCTTCAGCTAATGAACAATGGTAAACTACAATAAAACACAAAAAAATATTTTATATCCTTGTAATAACATTTAAAGGACAAGTATTTTATAAAAAATAATTTTAATTTTAATTTATTTCCGAAATTCTGATTCTATAATTGTGTGGATTCAAATTTGTCATGTTAATAATCTTTAATGACTTTAAATTGTATAGACAAGCAACTTATTATTTATTTCATGTACAGTCATTAAATATATATTTTGTACTTTATATTAAAATTTTTATCTTTTAAAATAATATTAATTTTCTAAAAAAAGAAATTAATTATAAAAAGTAATAACGATATTTAAATAAAAAATGTTTCTTCTTTTTACTCACTTCTTTCGTAAGCTGTAACAATTTCTTTAATTTCATTATTTTCTCGTGAACAGAGAATTTCCATCAACGTCTCTTCATCTGTTCCTATTCCTGACATAGATTTATAAAGTTGCTTAGCCAGAAAATCTGTAGGGTTTATCAATGCCACAATGACATCTTTAAATTCTTCACCCAACTCACTTTCTAGATTTTCAATTAAATTCTACAATGACATAAAAATGATAATACAATATAAAGCTTTCTATTGTTTATTCATCATATCAGTCAAAAATTTACTTTGTTTATACAATATATAGTTTTTATACCTGTTTAAATTTCTCAGTAAAAACTTTTTCAATTTCTTGTCTTTGAACATTATTACGTGTTGTCAGAATGTCAATAATAGCTTGCTCATCTGTTCCAAAACCTTTCATTGCATTTTGAAGAGCTCGACAATCTTCAAATGCATTGAAGTTTGTTGCTGCAGTCACCGTTGGTTTTTTCTGTATTATATAATAATTAAATTATAATTAATTTATTTTATATTGTAACAATTACAATACTTACAATGTAGTCCGTCATTTTGTACTAGAGAATTTTTTTATTTTAAAATTCTGAAATTTTTCCAATAAGTAAAAAAATAATTATTATTTGGATATAATGTTGAAAATTTTTTTGAACCAAGTAATACGAAATCCAAGAGAAGACTGAATATAATTTTCAATTTAGTGTAATGGAGTGTCATTAAAAGAAGGCAGCGTTTAATTGCTTTTTGAACTTTAATTAGATAAAAAGAAATTTGTATTCATAATTTAAAAAGAGAAACAAAATCACTTATATATTGTTAATCTTAAAATATTAGTAAGATTTTTATAATAAAAGAAATTGAATTTCTCTAGGTAAAACATGTAAGTTTTTATTGAAATTTATCAATTTGAAACAACACTACCTTACTGTTCAATTTATATACTATTCGCATGCTTGTCACAGAATATGAATTTAGAGACAAGTTAAGGATAATTCATTTTACCATTCAAACGCAACGCTGAAGAACTAAATCTCAGAAGTCGTTACCTCAAAGTCAGAGATAATTTTAGAGCGACGAAACACAAGACATTTACGGTCTAACTTATGTATAGACGTACAAGTTATATCTTTGTAATTTTCATGTCTCTCTATTGTAAAGTGCTTTTCTATTGTTACAACTTCTCTATATGACTTTAAGGCATACCTTAATTTTGATAATATTGTTTAGTTAAATTTAAAAAAATATACACAAATAAAGTATTATTAGTTGTAATAAAATTTTTATAATGAAATAAAAATTTGTTAAAAAGAATGAGAAAAATAAGTTTACTATTTATATAGTTTTCATAATATAAAAATTCGTAAAATATTAATGTATTCTTTTTCGATATTAAATGAAATAAAAATTTTATATTTTACAATCTTTGAAAAATTTTCATGATCAAATAACTTGACTATGATTTTATATGAACATTAAACATAAACAAAGGTACCAGTTGGAGATTTCATTCGCTTTCGTAGTATTTCCGGCTTTACGGCGAGGTTTCCTCCCGTCTCGTGAGAGAAAAGCTAGTAAATAATTTAATACATATATATATATAAGTTTTCAGATTCAACACAGGAAAAACTGTCTGCTTTTATTTTCATTTTATCTTCTTAAATTTAATAATCTACAATTATTTATTAATACTGGACATCAGGAATTATGGATAAAGTTGACAAAATAATTTCATCCTTCAGAAATATTTGCCGTATTTTATTTAAAAATTTCTTTTTAATATTTTATGACTTTGATGAGATTTTCTTTCCATACAATTGCGATTATTAAAATTTTGATGAACATTATCTGTCCGTTATACAAAAGAATAAAAATTTTAATTTTCCATTAGCTTTCGGAAATTTACTTTTTCACTTTTGTGAAATTAATTCGGCAGTTTTAGATTAAAATTTCGATAATCACAATCTTGACAAAGAGGGTCTTTCATGAAAAGTGTAACTAAACGCCAACGTGCATTAATACTCTTTAATTACATTATAATGATATAGTATTTTACAAGACGAGTGTTATTCATCCTACAAAGACAGTTTGATAAATTAATGTCTTACAGTTTAATGCATGGTAACGATATAATTAGCGTGTTCAGTTGTTGACTCAAGGACTTGACACAATGACACGAACTAATTAGTCTATGTAACTATGTGTGGTGGAAGTAGTTGAATTGCGCTTGCTAAGCGAACAAACTTGTACAGCATCTCAGCTGTCTCTCCAGTGCGTTCCGGATGAACTTCCGTTTGGGCATTCCTCTTTCTCTACACACACACAGTTAAACATAAAACGAAAGAATTGAGAAAATTGTCCTATATATATAAACGAACAAAAACAGTACGCTCCAATTTGTCAGGTAAAAAAAGAAATTTATTGCATGCAGAAATAAAAAGTATAATTGAAACTTAGAATTTAATTAAAACTGTCAGTTTATCAATTAGTGGTGTTCCGTTTTTTTTTTCATTAAAAGAAAAATTGAGCACCGTTTGGAAAATGAGCAAATGAATAAGTTTGCCTTCTTTGTTCTTAAAGTTACAACTCTAACAATGGCGAGTAACTCATGTACTATATATATGTGGTCTAGATAAAGTCCAAACCAGAAAGACTAAGAAAAGTGGTTTGGGGCGTCAAGCATTTCCAACTAAACTCTGGTAATCACGTTTATGTCTTCCCTGCTTACAAAAAAAAAAAACAAAAGGACAAAGTTTACTCCGATTTCAAGCAAAATCTCTCTGCAACAAAAATTAAACACAGATCGTTTACTACTTTGTTTTTGTTATTTATATTGGAAAAAATTTATTATAAAAAATGTAATCGTCTTGTTATTTCATTCGTTTACATTAGCAAAGTTGATTGATTCCTTTATTGATGAGAATTAATCAGTAATCAGTAATTTCAAATTTACTGATTATTTTTTAATTTACTTTAATTTTCATATAAATATTTGATTTTATCGTTTGAAAAAAGAGTAAATCATAACGTGGAAAGTTGGATTCGTATCTTATGAAGAAGGAATGAAATATGGGTAAAAGGAAGAGGGCACTTGAAATGCAGGAAACCCATCAGTGATAGGATGGGGAAGGTCAGGTTAGTGATATCTCGATCAATCTCACCTAGTGTACTAGAAAGGCGCTGAAATTAAGTGAAGCTATACTAAGGTCGAAAATCAATCCACGCCATTGGACTGAATTAAAACGGTTCTGTGACACATTATTATGGACTCTATTAGACATCCATAATGTGCGGTCATCGTCTCTGAACACGCGAATCTGTAGTAAATTGCAAGTGCAAGTTTATATAACTGATTCTGAAATTCCGGCAATTGACCCTTAAACTACTCTAACCACATTTCATCTCTGACATTAAACCAAAGAGTGTAACTATAAATTTTAGAGATTTTAAATTTTCAATACCTACTATTGTGAAAAAATTATTTTAAAGAAATTTGAAGAAAAATCGATTTGTTGAAAATGAATATAGTAGAATTAGAATATTCATAAATTGCATCACGATATGTTGAACAATAGTAAATATTTTAACGAATATAAATGTGTTTGGTTGTATGCGTTGAATAATGTCTGTTGTTTGGTACAATGCCAAAAAGCCGTTCCAGAACACTGAAGTTAAGCTTCATATTTCTAATAATTTTTATTGTTTTAAAAATAAGTTTTTTTTGTATTATCATCAAATTTTTGAGATGATCTTTTCAAATACCAACATTATGAAATGACTAAATGGGTATTGTTACTATGAGAACTTGTTTCCGTCTAGTCGGACATCTCAGAGGGCTTTAGGTTCTCCATTGGGATAAGAAACTGCCGCTATCTTAATGGTTCACTGTTATTAAGCTGCCGTTGGTGCTTGTATTCCAACACTAAATAGACGACTTGATCCTTAAGGCTATCTAAAAGGATCCTATAATTTTGTAATCTCTTGTTTTGCAGTTGTATTTATTAGCTAATCAGATTGATATCTGTACTAGAGAAAATTAAAATGATAAATTTCAATTAAATCTATTATGAAATTATGATCACTAGTTTTTTTTATATAAAGTTTCAAATATAGTACAAGATGTATAGATATTCTTGACAAAGAGACTATTCGTAACATTTACAAAAAGCTGAGTTCAGTTTCTTGAGCTTTAATGATGTGCCGTTGTACAGTGCTATCTTTTGTAAATCTATTGGAGGTTGTGGCTTTGAAATACTCCTTATGTATAATGTAAAAAAAAAATTGGCAAAATTTAACTTGGATTATTTATACTAAAAAGGAAAATGATGAAGAAGTATTTAATAAAATTTAATGTAAATCAACTACCAAAACAAAAATTAAATGAAAGATTTATTTAATGCAATATATGTTTGTGTACAGTTTAATTTAGTGCAACTTTCTTCTGCTAAAATATATATTTTGAGTTCATTGTTACCAAAATAACAGAATCTACAATTAATTTTGAGAAAGAAATAGTATTTTTGCAGTATCGTCACCCCTTCTGGCATTTTACTTCCATTCAACTTGTATCTTTGCAATAAATTGAATTTTCTCGGTCCAAGAGTACTTTTCGCGTTGAAAGCACCTTTGGCGCTCGTTTATTCAGCGCGATCACTGCAACAGAGTTTTGTTGGTATGAATTCCATGGAACTGCGCATTAAGTAACTCGAGAAACTCACTTACCCAACTTCTTTCTCATCTATAGCAACCGACTCCTTTCTTCGATTTAAGGCAATTGGTTCCTACAAAACAGCAACCACTGGCGACTGACAGTTATGTGACCCTCAATAAAAGATTGCAACAATATCCCAAAAAAAATGAATGAATGATTATCATATTTCTAATATTAAAAAGTTTATCTGTTTTGAAATTTACTGTAATAAACACAGTGTACCATATACTTTACGTCGACCTTAAAAAATACTATCAAAATATTACTTACAGTCATATTATTTTTATGTTACTTTTCAGTAATAAAAAAAAAGAAATAAGAATATTTTTTGAAACGAACTCACATATAAGTCTCTAGTTGCAAGAGCATATCACATGTGACAAGCGTAGAATTTTTCTATCGATCTTTTTCAATTTTGTCGAGTGAGATTTGTTCGCTTGCTCGAATCCAAAACGATCAGATAGAACGATGGTAGTGAAGAGAATTTTGCGGACAAAATGATCAAATTCTACTGTCCACTAAATCCCACAAGCGTAATTTCGATTACACAAACTGGTGATTCTCAGTTATTGCTCAATTTTACAAAGGAATGCATTTTTTCAGTTCCATTCGTATAAAAAATATTGATGAAACTGATTCTGACAATAATAAATGAATTTATGTTTTCCAAAAAAAAGGAGATGAAGCTCAAGTATAAAAGCGATTTACTTTGGAATATTAATTGAAGGTTTTTGCGAAAATGTTTCTCATGATACGGTTATAGCAGATGTCACGTGCAGATTATCATTAAAGTGGCTTTTAACATGAGACACTAGCCGTATAACTGTATACCTTCTTCTTCTTCTATGAAAGCTTATTATTAAAGGTTTCCGGTATACGACGTGACGAGACTTTTACGCCCTTATCTTCTTTATTACTTTATAACACTAAGCGTTATAAAGCCAGCGAATAAGATGTAAATGCTG